ATGCTTTTAATTGTGGACCAAATTGTTTAATTAAATTTGGTATATGAACAAGTACAAGAATAGCATTTTCAATTGGATTTAACATACGTTTAAGTAAATCATCCGTTATTAAATGATCATCACCTATTGAACAATTATTTAGAAATGATATCATTGAACAAAGTGCACCTGAACGTTGATTAAATGAAAGTGTCCATGTAAATGAATCACCACGTTGTTTTTCTTGTTCAAAATCAGCTTGTGATCGTGGAAATACATTACGCCATAGAAGAACTAAACGTGGAACAAATTTTTTTATAACTTCTTGTCCAAGTGTACAACATGCAGCAAGTAAATGCCATGCTGTATGAGTACGTTGAAGTATAACACGTGGTATTAATGACTGCTGTTGACCAGCTGTCGAAACTGTAGCTGTACGAAGAAGATCATCAGCAAAATCGAATATAGTTTTTGCACGTTGTGATGGAATACCTATCGAGATAACAAAAAAAAAGAGTTATTAGGCTCTTTAATATAATCCCATAGTAATGTCACCTACATCGTATCTTTTAGTGATTCAAAGTATAATCATAGTGAGATTCGTATAGGAACATTGTCGTAGCTGATACAATGGTATTTAGATCTCATTTTAAGGGTAAATTCCTTCTGTTTTGTACATAAAAAAAAACTTTTAACGGCATTCGTGCCGTATAATAGATTAGAAGTATTCCATAAGTGATAATAATCATCTAGCTATACTACTTAATATAATGTCAACAAGGAAGATAACACTAATGATATAATATATAAAAGGTCATAGTCTTCTAGAATGGTGTTAATGTGAGAAATTTCGAAATGTATCGAAGGATATGCTAGAAAATATTATTTATCAAGATTTGAAATACTGAATAGTTTATGATAATCAAAGTTTAAGATTAAATCGAAAACAATTTCTATTATTTCATTGAATTATATTATATGACATAGGATTGTTAGCACGACAGCAACGTGTGTGCTCCGTCGTATATCTTTTGTTGAGAAAAGAAAGAGTTATATTAATCTAATAATAATATTATTGAATATTAATCGACGGGATATAATATAGTTATTTTTGTTTTTCCTTGACGTATTTACTATGGGAATATTTTTTCGAAGAAACAGAAAAACAAAACATTCTGTTTTTAATTTAACTAACCTAATGGACATCGATAAACAGCGCCAAGTAAAGCTTGTAATGCAAGTGCAAATCCTGACATTGCATCTGTATTATATGAAGTTGATTGTTTAGCTAAACCTTTCATTTTAGTTAAACAATGATCAATAAGTTTTGTCATAAGTGATGGTAATGCTGTTGTAATCGAACGAAGACACCATGCTGCTGATAATCTTACTGAATGTGATGGATTAAGAATAACTAGAAATAATGTATCAACTAAACCATTACAACTATCTTGTAATAATAATGTTGTTGATGTTCCAATACTTTGTACTAATAAACTAAGTTCATGTAAAGCACAAATAAGTATATGTTGTGTATATTCAATATTTGATGATGATGATTCAAATGTATTTGTTGATGATGAACCATATGATTGTATCATAGAATTTGTACTTGAATTAAGTGATGATGAACCAGTTGATATATTTAAATCATTTGCTGATGTTGGCGATGTATTATTATTATTTGGTAATAATTGTGGTGTTGTATAACGTGTTATAATTGTAGCAAGTTCTTTTGCAGCAGCAAATTGAGCTTTTTCACCAAGACGTGAACCAATAACAGAACGAAGAATAAACGTAATACATTTACGAGAATAAACAGCGTCAACATGTGATGTTGATGCACGAGGATTACCAGCTAATTCAAGTACATGATTAATAAATAAAGATAAATTTTGTTCAATCCATGATGTACCAAGAACAAGTGCTAATTCGACATAAGTATGAGTAACACCAATACGTATTTCACGTTGTACTGTTGTTGGTCCTTTAATACGTTCTGTTGTATTTGATTTTAAAAATCCAATATTACCACGTAAAAAACCTCCAGCTAAATAATTTAAGATATCTTCTGTTTTTATCTTTTTCGTATTTGCTGTATTAGCATTCGATCTATTTATCGTATTTTGATTTGCATTTGAAGCGATATCTTGTGTTGCAGCTAATAATGCTGCTAAATATTTTGCAACTGAACAACGAACTTCATAATTTGATCCATCAAGTGCACGAAATGCTAATGTTACATTTCCTTCTAATTCACTTGTATACATAAAGTTGTTTTGATTAATTAAAGCAACAAGACACTAAAAATAAAAAGAAGAAATAAACAAAAAACATTATTTTTTTGTTTATATTATTACCATTGCAGCAGCTGATCGAACAGGCATTGCACGATCACATATATGTGTTTTAGCAACCTTGAATATTTCTCGATGTATATTATTTCCAGCTGAACCAAGTCCATTAACAATACGTTCAAGTGTAAACATAATTTCAAAACGCATTTGTGAATCACCATTTTTTAATGTTTTAAGTAACAATTGAACAGTTTCTTCATAGGAACGACCAACTAATCGACCAAGACGTTCATAAACTGCACCTATAACAACTACTGTAGCTCTAAATAGAATATTTGAAATTAATTTTACAAAAAAATCAATATTAATAAATTTACAATTTCGAAACTTCATCTTTAGATTTTAATGTATCATTACAACGATTAACTGTATTAAATAATGGAAATGGATCTCCAACACTAAATAATGTTGCTAAATTTCGACCGATTAATGTTCGTATAGGTGGTCCAGGTGCATATTGAACTTGTTGCATAAGTTGTTCAACAATACGTGGTTGACATTCACGAATATCATTCTTAGATAAAAAGAAAAAAGAAATAGTAATTTTCAATTAGAAGAATAAAATTATACTTTTTGAGCAGCAACAAGTACTTTATTTAAAAAACAAAGCCATTCATAAATAAATACAGGTCGTTTATTTTCTGGTAAACTATTAAGTGCTTCTTCGTTTAATATTAAACTTTGAGCAAGTTCAAGCATTGATCGAAAATTAGTCTTATCTATAAACGAAGAATAGACAAAAAACGATTAAAGATATATAGATATGATTATTAAGAGACAAAAAAGAAAGAGATTATTGAGCGTTATTTTTTTGTGAATATCTTAGGACAAAAAAAAAGGCTTTCAGAAATGAGACGACAATCATTTTTTATTAGGAGACAACGTTCTCAATAAATACTCATCTTCGGAGTAGATATAGGCACAATAAATAGCCGAGAAATGGTCTTTTATTACAAAGATTTTTCTTTCCTTCCTTCCGTCTTTTTTTATGTATATATGTATTAGTCAGTTGCAAGCTTCAGATAGGTTTTCTTTTTTTTCTCATTCTACCAATAGAAAAAGTCCGACAGCCAATAGAAGATAAATACAAGAACTCAAAGAAAAATCATGAATACTAACGTCATCTGTCAAAATTATGAATAATTCTAATATACATTTTTTCCTCCTTGTATATTTCGGATGCCTTGCTATCTGTTCTTTTGTTTTCATCGATATACACTTGAACAGCGATAGCAATACTAGAATCAATTTAATGTATCTTAGCTATTTGCCACGTCTTGATGTATGATCAATGAGAGAAATGCTTTATTTCAACTAGCGATACATGGAAAAGTCCAATGATAACGTCACTACATTACTAACTATGTAATGGAAATACATCTTTCATTGATCTCGTTTTTATTGATTGTCTTGAAAGTATTATTTTATATAGAATATGAATTTTTTTATCAGTTTACTATTATACAATGAAAATTGTTTGATACTCCTCTTCTTATTTCCATATAATGATTTTATTCAGTATTATTGTGTTCATGCATAAAATACAGACAATAACTGATACAGTAATCTATTTTTTTTATTCTAAAATAGTTAGATTACATGTGTATAGAGATTTGATTTTAGTATAATTGAGATATCTTTTATCATTGATAAAATTTTTTGTCACATTATCTAATGTTCTATATCTGAGTTCTGAATAATATAGTAGAGAATTGTACCAACTGATTGAAATTCTCGCTTAATAAAACTATTCCAAATATCATCATTCAGTGTTAACCAATATAGGATTTTTCAACAGTTCTTATTACTGAGAGTTGTAAGGTTAATCCTATAAAATTGATTCTTATTCGTATTATTTTTCTTGTAACTCTTGTAATATATTATATTTAGGCAATTAATACCAAAATAGTTTACTCAACAATTTATTTTTTAAAAATTATTCGTAGTTTTAATATCAAAATAATTATTGGCAACCATGTAAATGACCGTTTTCTTTTCTGAGCGGAATTAGATCAATCTTTATATTGTACTACTATTTACTATATGAAACTGAGATTCATAACTAAATTCACATTTACAGTTGTCCCACACTGGAAAGAATAAAAAGTACACTGATATTATATTCGCACAGATATTAGAAAAGGAAAATAGCGTACGTTATATTTAAAATTAATATAAGCTATTTTTTTCCTAATTGATGATGCAGAAATAATAAATCTTATATTTTGTGTACTTAATCAAACTCCGTATCTTCTATTTTACTTGAATAACTTTTCGATAAAATGTATACCATTAATTATTAATTGCATGAACAAGAGTTACCACATTCTATATGAACCTTGATGAGATTTATATTTGTTATAGAAAGAAACATAATCAACCGTATCATGCGTGTTTCCATTTATAAAAGAAAGTAGTTGTTTATTATTCTTGATTGACAAACTGAACTCACTCTATCTCTACTTATCATTGCAAATATATAATTATTATTTATATAATTATACATATCTAATTTTTTTTACGCGAATATTTTTACAAGGTTCAAATGTAGTTTTTACTTAGCGTTGTAAGCAAAAAAAATAGAATTTGAGAGAATAAGTAGATACTGAACAAGGATATTACTTTATCTTCTTCTCGTAGTGTTATTTCATTACTTATCAAAAAATGCCATCTAATACAGTAAAATTTTGGTCTCTTCTTATTTTTCTTATACCATCTATTCTTTGTGCATTATTTATCTCATATTATTTATTATTTGATCGCACTTTACGACATGCTCTTCATAATCATGTTGTGATTGTACTTCTTCTTATTGGTTTATTTTCTGAAATGACCAATTATATATGGATGCTCGTTTATTATCAATATGCAGGAATATGGCAAAGATCAAATATCTTTTGTGCAATCTGGGGTTTTAATGATTGGGCATTATATATTACTTATACAATTTTGTTAGCTTGGGCAACAATCGAAAGACATATTCTTGTCTTTCATGATCGATGGGTATCATCAAGAAGAAGACGTTTACTTGTTCATTATCTTCCTTTAGTATGTCTTTTTCTCTATTGTTTTGTTTTTTATATTGTTGTTTACTTTATTCCACCTTGTGCAAATATTTTCTCTCAAACCGGTTACATATGTATATCTCCATGTATATTTAATAGTTATACATTTAGTATGTACGAACTAGTAGCTCATCAATTTTTACCTTTTCCAATTATTGTCATATTCAGTATCGCTTTACTTGTGCGTGTAGTATTCCAGAAAAAGCGAACACATCAACCTGTGCAGTGGCGTAAATATCGAAAGATGACAGTTCAAATGTTGTCAATTTCATTGCTTTATGTTGTTTTGTATTTTCCTTTCTTAGTAGTTAGTATTTGTGTATTATTCAATGTATCAACTGACCTACTCAATGAGATTCTTCCTTATACAACGTTTATTACTTATTTCATTTTCCCACTTTATCCTTTTGTCTGTGCTCTATCCTTGTCCGATTTACGAAACAAAATGTACCAGATTTTGCATCTTCGTCGACCACCAAGACAAGTTGGTATTGAAACATTTACATTACGAGTCCGTGAAAATAATCATACAACTACTAAAACTAACTACTAGATATTGTTATTCCATGTTCATTGTTATCTTTTAATGTTGTAATTAAAATCAAATATAATCATGCTTAAGTCATCGTCAATGACAGATCTTTTCTCTACGTTGAAAGAATTGAAAACAAACAGAATTCAAATAAAATGAATAATAATGATGACATAAAGTTTTGAATTGAGAACTAATTTTATCGTAATAATTCTATGAACTTTAAGCCGTATTTAAACTAAATGATAATATCTATTGTCCTAATACTTCTGCTGGTTTATTTGTGAGTCAGTGCTCGAATGACTTTAAAGGTACATCGATACTAATGAACATCAATTCGAACATTTGAATTGAATTGTTTTATATATAATTTATATAATAAACTTTCTTTTAATTCTTTCATGTCACTATCTGAAAAAGGAGACTTTGAAATGTATATCGGTTATCTTACAGCATGTTGTATAATCGTTAACAAGCGAAAAATCTTTATCGATGTTGATAATAACATATAGAACCAGTGATTTCTACATGTTTCTCATTTGGAAGAGAAAATTTAAATAAGCCCTTATCAGTTGTAAAAGTATGAGGTCGTATGATTCACATTCAGTGAAGATATTTTAATTTCTTATCAGAGTGTTACTTTTGACTCAATATGGATATGACTTGTGTAAGCATAGAATTTCAAGCAAACGTACCATTCTCAATTAATATTAAATTTTGTCGTTTTTTCTACTATATCTATTAATTCTGGAAGTTATTCATAATCATACAAACATAATGATTGTATCTCAATATCATATTGGAGAGAATCAAAATCATGTCGCACAATTGATGATTTTAAAGCAACAATCTTTGTATAAAGATAATTTCGCGAAATGTTGAATGTTCAAACACTGATAAGAAGAATAAATTAGATAAAAACAATCACAACGCAATTGAGAGACAATATTAATCGATATTTATATATTGATAGATAACTAATTCAACCATAATGAGAATAAATGACGAGCAATAAATAAGGCTTATGCAATGACAGATGTCGTTTTCTAACAGAAACTAAAAGCCATACGTTTT